GTAAAGTCAAAAGTGATATAGCTATGAGCAACTTCATTGCACATATAAAAAAGGAACTTATACAGATTTCTTGGGTCTCAAGATCTTGAATAACTGGTTTTTAAACCTATTTCCCAAAGGCCATCTTGAATTATAAAGGAAGAATTAAACTAGGCCACAGAAGCCTAGCTGTTCTAGGTTTTTAGAAACAGGGCTGCAAATTATCACCACAGTATCACTTTTTCAAATATTTTGTCCTTAGAGATAAAATGCCATTTCCCCAGCTTCTGAATAATCATTTGCAAACAAAATTACAAGCAAGTATGTAGCAAAATCCTGAGAGATTAGCTCCATGATCTTATTCTAGAACATGCACACAAGAAAACAAAGGTTTTTCCAGGCCTCTTCTAGCAATTCCAATAGACTTTCATAGGCAGGAAAGGCTGCTCTCTCAGAGATTCAAGATGTCAAAACAAAACTTTATTTTGAAAAATGTAATGAAAGAGATCTTATGAGCTACATTCAGTCAAACCTTGGGTGATGATAGGACCTCTAAAAGAAAGGAGGACAAACTCATCAGGGGACACAACAGAGAAACCTTTGAGAACTGTCCTACTGTTTTCTCTTTTAGAAGCATCAGGTAGAACTACTGATCCTGTGAGCTGAGGAGAAATAGCTCAGAGAACCCAGAGCAAACGCTGCCCTCTCAAGAGAACAGTTTCTTGTTACCACTCCATGAAGAAGAGGACACCTACTCAGAAGACACAGCACTATGAGAACCAAAATGTATAGTATCCCAAGAGAGGGTAAAATTAAAAAAAGTCAAAGATGCATACGAATCACCTAAAATATTTCTGTGCCCAAAGTAAACTCTTAAGAGGGTACTGGCTGTAGATACTCAAAGAACAGGCTTCGTTTCAACAGCAGAAGAGTTCAAAGCAACAAAGTTTGTATTTGACAGGAACATAAATAACTCCATGCATCTGAAGTGGCTGTAGTTTTCTCCAGAACTCTGGCTCACAGCATCAATGGTTCATCTACAAAACTTTGTGAAAAAATAGGTTAAGAGAAAATCTGCCTTAACTCATGCTGACACTTTGATGGGCAAGAAGCTGAACTCAGCACATCTAGTGGTTTGAGCCTCCAACATTCCCTCCATCAGAATCTTCTCAAGTGGCACACTGGCCAGAGATATATCCAATAGGGATCTCTAGAGAGATCATGAATCCATCTAGATCTCTCTTTTCTGGGACCCTTCGGATGTGGAGAAGACACCCATATTGACTTGTGCTGGGCTTTTTATTAAAACAGCCTTTTATATCTTCTTATAAGCAACCAGCCAGCTACTGCTTAAAAAGACCTGGCAACCACACAGCTCCAAGGAGGGTTTTTACAGGTACAGTAGTATGAGGCAATTGCACTACATGTTTCAGTGGGTGTGTACACACACTAAAATAATGCTACTTAACTAAGGCAACTTAACTTAAGTCACGTCAGAGCATACACACGTACAGCTCCCCGACATGGATGGCAGCCATCTTGTGAGCTAAGGTGACTTAATTAATATGACTCAAGATAATACACCTCAGAGGTATATCATGTTGCACCACATTTAAGTCAACTCTACTCCACATACACGTGTATGCTCCGATAGTTAAGTCGACTTAAAAAAGTTAAGTCAGATTAACTGTCAGAATGTTAGTAAATGTGTACACACCCAATACTGCTAGCCAGGTTAAATCATATTATTTCAGACAATGTATTCTTTCACCAAAACTTCAGATACGGTCAAGAGCATAATATGCAGGTCACTGACCTTTATTTTATGATGGTAATAGCTCATTTGGTGGCTATGGGAGGAGTAGGAAAAAAAATCATAGAAATAAATGTTTTCCAGTGAATTATGAACAGTTCTTTCCCTGTCCAATGTTTTCAGTGCAAATGCTCAACAAATCCTTAGGCTGAAGTGGTCAATGAGGCTCTCACAGAAAGTGTGTGTGTAGTCTAAACAAAGGGTGGTCAACTTGTGGCACAAATGTCAAAAATGGCATGGGTAGCCTGTGTGTATGGCATGCAGCAAATTGGGCAGGAAGCAGAAAGAAGAGGTAGGCGATAAGAGTGCTACTCAGGGTGCAGACTTAATTTGTGGCATGCCTGCTAAAGAGGTTGGCCCCCACTTGTTTAGACACTTAAGTGATAAAAATATAAACTTCAACTTGCACCTGTGGAAACTGAAGTTCAGCCTTGGTTGCTGATCTTCTGCCTTCAGTGGACTATTTTTTATGCAGAACAAGCCTGGTATTCATACACAATACACAGGTACAAACATTTTCAACAACACTACTTCACTATATACCTTCAGACAAACAAGGACACAGCTAGAGGAAAAGTGAGTTCTTTTTTACCATGAGCTGGCATTTTGTTTCAAAATCACCTCCACAGACAACTGTGAAATTAACACCTGAAAGACCTTATTGCAGCTGCTTCAAAATTAAAAGAGTTGTGAGACTCTAGCTTCATTTCCAACTCTAACTGTATGTCCACGTATGAGAATTCAGTCATTCCATATCAAAAATTTAATTTTTTGTAGGTTGTTTTTTGTTTTGTTTTAACCTTCCCACATATGTGGTAATAATAAACTTCAGCACCTCTCTCAAGGAAACATCTTACTAGGAGGAAAGAGATCCAACCTGCCCAGCTATGACAACAAGCACATCACCTCTGTACAGGAAGAGCTGAACAAGAACTATTTACAACACCTTTATTTCAATTAATTGCAACAGCAAAAAGCCTCTCAATAGAATGGCACAGAAGAATCAGGAAGACTGTTTCTGATAGAAGTTTTAAGCCTCACCTAAAATGTTTTCCATAATGCTCCAAGTTTAATAACTACTGTCCTTGCAGACTAATTGCAGATTCCCTGTAACTGTTTTCCAGGTCTGAGAAAGGAAGAAATATATGATGATAGCTTTTGTGTTAACTTTTGTCACAGATAAGTAACAAAAATAGTAGATAAATGTAGTTTACTTATTGAAATCTCATCACCAAAAACATTATATTGATGAAACCTACTTTTTCAAATCATAAAACAAAAGAAAAAGAAGAATAATTTCCTTGACAAGAAGCTACAGGATTAGTTATATATGTAAACTCCTCAACTAACTGTCCAAGCAAAAAAAGTGCAGGAGCATGAATACTGATTACAGAAGATACTTAGACAATGTGGTAATGGGCACAGTAAGAATACCTACCTGGATAGCATGTAAATGAAAACACAATACAATGGAGAGACCATGAACAATGCAAACTTTCCTAAAGATGATATACACTGCAATCTAAAAACAGTTTTTTTGAAATGGGAAGTTCAAGCTTTTGATCACATGCTATTATCTGGTTGTAATTCTAGTGTGCAACTTGTACAGCAGTGCCTCACCAGCACCTTAACTGGTATTACTCTGCAAAAGTAACTTAGCTCCCTTATTCATCACCCACTGGCCTGTTCTATATGTTCAAGATCCAGTCAACCCAGTAAAATACACCAATATCCTAGTAACACAACTTACTCATTTAGATAAAGATTATTCTCATAATGATTAAATATTTGATTTGAATGAACAAAATATTCAGCCAAGGAAATATTAATGTGAACTGGCTAAACAGTCTGCTTATTTATTATTTGTAATAAAAATGCTTTTTGAAGACCACAAACAAGATTAAGGGCCCACTGTGCCAGTACAATGCAAGGCAGTCTCTGCCCTAAACATCTTACAATAATAGTGTGCATTTTTGTAATGAGCTTACAGAATAAAATTACTGCAACACAGGTCTTTGCTTATAAACAGGCGTTTCACAGATTTTCACATGTACTCTGTAGTAGACTGGAAAAAAGTAACAGATATCCACAAACCAAATGTTTATCCACATGAAATTTAGGTATTAATCTGAAAACCTGGGTTTGAGAGCAAATGTACATACATACCTGACTTCTGTATGCATTCATATGTACACTAGGAACATATACATGCCAATCTGCTGGCTGTCCCTGCAGTGGAGGTTTACATAAACTTGTTTGTGATTGTAGGTCCCAGTGTCACCAATATTCAGGTTTAATGCCCAGGCATTTTTATAAAGTGAAATACAAAAAAAATAAATAAATAAAAAAAATCTACTTTTCTATTCCAGGGCATTAGTTCAAAAGATTAACTATTTAAACCCTTTTGAACAACTAATTCTTACACTAGGAAACTGTCTAATGTCTTGTTTTACGATGAAATTTGACCACAGGGCTTAACAGAAATACCAGCTACAATGGTGCAAATGTGTGCTGTTGTAATGCTCTAGGGCAGTGGTTCTTAACTGGGGAGTTGGGACTTCCCCTTCAGGGGTGCTGTGTCAGCAGCAGCCAGGTAAAACTGCCCCATATGCTCCTGCTGCATTACAGCGCTCTAATCAGCCTACAGCAGGCAGCTTTTGCTGTGCAGCCTCATGCTGTGAGGCTCTTTCTTGTCTGTCTGCCGCAACATTCCCTCCAGAAACAGGTGCAAGGGGAAGTGTCCCATCCACTTGTTTTCAAGAGCAACGTTGGGGGTACCAAACCAGGAAGAGCTGCACAGCACAAGGAAGTGCCTGCCTGCTTTAAGGTAATCAGAGCCTAAATGCTGGAGGAGCATGTACATGTGGCACAGCCCATCCTAGGCTGACTGTGCAGCACAGGTTAGTGTCACTGCAGTTGCACAGTCCTGAACAGCAGAACCCAGTTGAGAAGCACTCAGGTATGCTGGGACAGCACCAATAGTAGTCCCCAGTCAGAGATGCTGCTACATTCAGAAAAAAGTGGTGGTGGGGTGCCTTGAACCTGCAAAGGTTGAGAACCACTGCTCTAGGTTCCAATTAAAAGAGCAGCAGCACCTTAAGAACAAAAATTACCAATTTTTCAAACACACAAGAAACTCTACATTTCCCCTTTGTTTACATCACCAAGACGCTTTCTCTTCTATGCAAATAAAGGCAAGCAAAGTTACCTAGTATTCATTTTGTGGGTCTGAAAACCTAAATAAGGATCAAGAACCAAACTAGTTGCTAGGTCATCGTTTTCACACAGTTCCTTGGCAGACATTCCAGAGGAAGGCACGTAACGACTCTGGCCCTCAAATCCTGAAGCACCACTACCTGCAAAAGGAAAGAAGAGCAAGAGTCAGGGCTAACAAAAACAGAAAACCATTCAAGTCCTTTAAGAAAGGCAATCCTACTAAAAGCATCACCAAAACCAGGAAAAGGGGAATACTAGATCTCAGACAAAGCAAATCCTTTCAAACAACAGACCCAATCTTATCAGTATGGACTCCCAACAGCAGGGCTGTGCGAAACAGCACTGTTTAGTTTCTACTTCTGTTTCACTGTTTTGATGGGATACTGTTTCGAAGCACTGTTCCATTTCATTTTGTTGAAACTGTTTCATTGTTTCGAACATAGGCTATAATTGGGAATCATGAAAATGCCTGTAACTGTCATTTCTTGCCTGATTTGGATGAAAATTGCGGGGATGGTAGCCCCTACTGAGGGCATGAAGCCTGCCAAGTTTCAAGGAGATAGGTGCAGAGGTTTCTGGGAAACTGCACCTCAAACGGTTCAAATCAAAAGTCCCAACACTTGCTGGCAGCGGCAGCCTCCTCTCATCCAACACAGAGATCTGGGGGACTTGCAGCCCCGGGAGGGCTGTCTGTCTGTGCAGTAGTCTTGTCCAGCGCTGGGCACAGCCCACACCCACCACCAGGATAGGCAGCCTGAACCTCCGGGGGCCCACTCCACCTGGAAGGAATCTGACACAGCCCTGTAGCCCTCCTGGGAAGAGCTGGGGAACTGAACTGGGAGCTGGAGAATCGAACCAGGAGCTAGATGTCAATATCAGAGCAGTCCTTCCCCCCTCCCTCTTCTTAGTTTCTGTTTAGCTTTAAGCAAGCCCAGCTTCGAAACTCAAAGCGTTTCAAAACTTTCAAAATGTTTCAAGTGCCCTTGTTTAATTTCAAAGCTGTTCTGAAGCCTTTCATTTCATTTTGATTTTGCTGTTTCAAGCTTGAAATGCATTGAAACAGCTTCCAAATGAAACACCTGTCGAAATTTCGCACAACCCTAACCAACAGCATGCTTTCTCTGCATGAAGGGACTAGATAAAGAAAAGAATTGAGGACGAAGGATGTGGTTTCTATCCTAAGCACATACCCATGACTCTGAGCTTCTTTACAAAACATGGAAAAATCATTTAGAATTCAGTCAATTCTAGCTAACCCCATTAACAAACAAAAGGAAGGTCCTAACAGAATTCTCTGGATCTGCAATTTTACAACTTCTCCAGATTCATGCTTATAATGCTTCCATTTTTCTAGAACAAGGAGGATAGGGAGAGGTCTACACCATGGCTTTATATGCCAACTGATTTATGCCTAATCCTCAATTAATTGTGCAGATGCAGAATCCCTTATTTTCTTTCCTACAGGCCAATTCTTAAGATTTCTGGGCAAATTATTAAATTAGAATACATCCATAATCCAATCTGAAACAATGTTTGTTTTTAGGCAGCACAGATTAGGCAGTCTGTCTCCCACTTTCCCTCTCCCATTCAAACTAAAACTACATCAAAACATTTGAATTTAACCTTTCAATTGGACTTCATCTTTTTCCCCTGAGGAAATGGTAATGGT